CCTCTGGCTCTGAGAACCAAACAAATGCCAACTTTGATCAATTTACAAGCAATTATTAACACAACAAGAACAACAACAACAACAGCAGCAGCCACAACAACAACAGCAACAAAAACAACAAACAATTTTACATTTTTGCTTAATTACACACAAGTCGTAGCACTGTCTATGCCGTAAGCCCCCACCCACCCCTCCTGCTCTTCTCTAAATCCTTGCCAAAAATTCCCAAATTCCCGTTTCACTGTCTCGCTTTGACTTTGCCAGCCAAAAAATGAGCTCCGCTGCTGCTGCTCCTGCTGACCCTCGTTTTCCCCCTCCTCTTCCTCTTTTCTCTTCCACTCCCCTTGCTGGTCTCCATTTGTGTCCATGTCAAATATTTGCACAAAGTCCGAGCAACTCTCTTCGCCCTCTCTCGCTCGCACGCTCTCTTTTGCCGTTACCCTTTTGCAGCCCATCCGTAGGACGTAGCTTATCATTGACAAAAAGCGCAGCGCAGGCGGCGAAGCAGGAGGCGGCGAACTGGTTTTCGGGGTTCACTGACTGTCAACATAGCTGGCGCCCTTTTTCGCCGTAGATCCGACTGCCCCACGCCATTTAACCGCGCTGCCAACTTGCACTTTTTGCTCGAGCGTTGCCAGACAACGCACAGTCAGCGTAAATTTTCGTTGCAGAAAGAAAAAAAAACAGAAGTGGGAAAAAGTGGAAGGCAAAGAAATCATTTTAAATGCGGCTTAAAATTATCTTTGATAAGCGCGGCGCAATGCTGCTTACTGCTGAGTAATTTATAGGCAAACGGTTTTGCGCCTACTCAAGAGGTCCTTGAGATCAAAGTCCTTGTCATCGTCATCGTCGTCGCCGCAGTCGAAGTTGGTTAGGGTCAAAGTTTAAGCGGCTTACCGAGAGCTTATTTAGCAAAGGCAGACAAAATAAATTGCTGCTGGGCAAGGGCCGGGGGTTGGGGGGCTCATTAGTGTTAAAGGTGAACTAATTGGACAAAAGTAATTATCCATAGTCTACACATACACTAGGGTAATAAAGAGGTATAAGAACTAATCAGGCTTTTTCATAAACGTTAAAAAAAAACGTTACTGAAAAGCTCTTATATTCCTTTTATGAGTGATTAAAAAATCGTATAGCCAAAAATTCTCAAGTCTTATATTAATAAGAGTTAGTCTTATACAAAAAATTCAAGTACTAATCTTCCATATTACTCTTATATTGCATGAAAAAGTGAGAAGCAGCTCTTATACCACAACAACCTCATCAGGGCCTCTCATTAAGTGCACCAAATCTACACTTAAAGCTTTTAAGCAAGTTGCTCCATTGGTTTGCAATTTGTCTCTTCTCCTTCCACCGTCTCTTCACTCTTAGCTTTCAAGTTCACTTACAAATTGATATTATGAAGCATGCGTCCCAATAATAAAAAAAAAAGAGAGGTAGAAACAGATACAAAACAAAATCAGAAGAATCAAGTTCTTTCGAGCAGCAGCAGCAGCAACAATGCAGCTGCCACTTGACTACAATTTTTTTTTTTTTTTTTTTTTTTTTTTAAGTTTTTCACTTGATTTGTGTAGCAGACGCTTCAAATTTACCTTTAGTTACCTTCTAGCTGAGCAAAAAGTATGAAAGATGGAAAAGAAGAGAGGGGGACAGAAGGAAAGCACAGACAGACAAAAAAGTTGTGCAACAAATTTTCTACCACTTTTACACACAAACAACCTACTCCAATTTTATTACTACCTTTTAGTGGTTGTCTCTTACTTTGACTTTTGTTCAATTCTGTTTTGTCTGCCCGAAAGACAAAGAAAGAGACTGTGTGATGGGGAGGGTGAGGGCGAGCAACGAATGACAAGTGATTTCTCTGCCCGATAGCACAATTCGTATTTCCCTTACAACTTGAAACTTTTTTAATAGATTTCAAATTTTTGCCCTCATCCCACTCTTATACTCTCTAGAGTAATCAAGCAAATTAGTGCTCAATAGCAATGGAGCCAAAGAGAGAGCGAAAGTTAGAGGGAAATATGAAGGGAAAGCGCACGAGCAAAGACCCAAATCCGAATTGGATGCCAACTTTTGACTTGGCCTTTGGGCTGGCTCCCAGGATAATTTGAGCTGTAAATTGTTGACAGCTTTGGGTTACAGTTATATATATTTTTTTCTCCTCTGTCCTTATTTTTTTTTGCCATTTTGCAGCGTAGACAAATGAAGATAAATGTGCACTGAGCAACTGGCAAAAAGTTTTTTAAAAATTTCCTATGCACAGGTTATCGAAATTTAAAGGCGAAAAGTTTTAGTTGGGGTAGTTTAGACTTAAAAATAAATTTCTATTATTAAAATTTTTGAATTTTGATTATAAAAAGACATCGATTTTTGTAGTTTCATTAAAATGATTTTTTTTTTTATATTAAGAAAAAAAAAATAGTTGACTTAAATTTGTAAACTGAATAAAGAGTTGAATTTTTTTTAGTTAATTAGTTAAATATAAATTAAAAATAAAACTTTAATTTGGTTTTAAAGGTGCTTATTTGACTTTCTCTCATAGAATTCTTTGCCATGTTTGCTGAAAACGATCTACCAACTGAATGAAATTTGTTTACAGGGTATTAAACTTGTAAACTGTAACTGGTATCGAAATAAATGCGATAGTCTTGTTATAAAACGATAGTCGAACTAAAAACTTTCTGTATGTGCACACACACAGCTTTAGCTGTTGTTGATCTCAATTTTGTTGCTTGTTGCTCTTGTTCTTCATTTTCTTCTTGTTGATGATGATGAAGATGAATTGCAGTTTGAACTTTGATAGAAATGCACAACATGCTTTGTGTAGTTTTTTTTCCTTCTCTCTAGTCTCTCGCAACTTAGTTTTTTTTTTTTTGTTATTTTCGCTGCAGTTGCAAAAGTTGCTTCAAAGTTTTTAATAAAATTGTTGCAATTTAATGTTTTATTGGGGCGAAACATGTCAAAGGAAATGCAATAATTGTGTCAAATGGGCTCGCTCTCTCTCTTAATGTTACAGAACATTTAAAGAGAGAGAGAGAGAACAATACCAAACCGTAACTAAATACAGTACAAAGAAAAGTGCAAAAGCTAAGAGCGGGTTAAATGATACAGTTTGAGCTTGAAAGAGAGAGAGAGAGCGAGAGGAAGTTTCGCCAAGTTTGTCTCATTGTGCATAAAATGCGAAAGCAAAAACAACAAAAAAGTTCAAATTACGAAATGCAACAAAGAAAGCCAACACAAAAGTCGAGGGGTGCAGGAGCAACAACAATAAAGACAAAGAATTTGCTACATAAAAGAGAAACTTGTAAGGAAGTTAGAAGTCAAAATGAAATGAGCAGAAAATTGCACTTGCAATGCGAAAGTGCGAGAGGGATAGAAGGAAGGCGTGTGAATACGAGTGAGCAAACAACAGTTGGAGTAATTATAGCATGAATATATATGTATATCAAAATACATACATATGTGTGTATATGGGGTCGCCTTTTGTTTTGTTTAATTACAAGTCTAACATGATATTTTATGATGGTTATGGTTTATTTAACTTTGATTATGGCCATTCCGGTTCAGGTGTCATCTGTTAAGCTGCAAATGCGCTTAAGCAGAGACCTTTGAGGAAATTTAAAAACAGTTGGAGTTGAGTGAACTTTCAGCTCGAGCAAACCACAAACGGCATTCGCTTAACGGCTGTTCGTTAATAGACAGCGACAAATGGGTCAATTAAGGTAAAACAGGTAGATTAGAGGCTAGCGAGCACCTGCGCAGTTAAATTGATAACTGGGCGTGTGCAGGGCTGTTTATTTTGCTACTTAGTTGGGAAAGCTTTTAAGTTATTTGCGTGCTTAAATTGAAAGTTGAGTTGAGTATTAAATGTAAAATTCAAAATACATTTAATTTCGCTTGAATTTTACAGCGAACAGCAGCCTAAATATAAGCATCTACATTTATGTAGATGTAGGGCTTCGACTCTTTTGTTTCTATTCCTTCTCATCAGGCGTACCAGTCGAGAAAGATAGAGGGGAAAGTGCGCAGTAGCAAGCGATGTTAAATATAGCCCTACTCCTCTCACATGCTAGGATCGCCATACCTTCTGCGCTGCCTGCGCTCTGCCCTTAGTACGTGCTTTGTGTTGATGTAGACATGTAGAGCTTAAAAGTTCTGCTCGCGTTCGGTCTTTCATTTTTCCTTTACCTGCGTCTATGCCTAAGCACTGCTCGCGCTCTCTTCTTTTTCTTTGTCTCCTTTACTATACGACCGTGCGCTGCATACATATACATATGTGTAAGCTCAGCTTGCGCTCTCTCCCTGAGATCTGCTCTCGCTCTCTCCTATTATGCACGCTATCTTAATGTCCCTGCTCTACTCCTTTTCTATTACACTCCCTTCCTTGTCTATTGCTCCTTTAGTCCTATGCTCTGTGTCACCGCTTTGCACTGTGGTCGCTCGCAGTTGCCCAAGATTTGGATCGTTCATTTGCTTTTCGACGATTGTCAATAAAGGAAGTGGGTGGACGCTGTGCGTGATAAATTTTGTGCCCAAATTTGAATTAGTGCATTTTGTAGTCGCAGTGTTTGCAGTGTTTACATGGAAATATTTTAAAACCCAATTTGATTTTCCAAATATTACAATTAACAAGTTTATTATTTTACAATTGACAATTGTCCGTGTGCGTCTATTTGCCTCTAGTGCACGATTCTCTTTGTTGTAAATCGATTCGATAGTGTTGAATAAAAAAGTTACAAAAACAGAAAAAAAATGTTTAGCAGTCGCACTTCGTTTTTGGGCAATCGCCGCATGATTTTTGATTTCTCTGAGAAAAGCACCGATTTGTATTTGGAGTGAGTATGAAGCTAAAAAAAAAAAAAAAAAAAAAATTCTTAAAATAATTAATTAACTGTAAAACAATTCCTTCTTATGCCCTGCGCAAAAGGCAAACTGTTATAACTGTAATTTTACTCATTTTCAACATATTCTCATTCTCTCTCTCTCTTTGTCTTTTACAGTGCATTTGGTATGAGCGATAAGAGCAGCAGCGCCACCAATAGTCTACCGAATAGTCCTATACATAGCAACAATAACAATTCGTCGCTGCTCAACAACAACAACAGCAGCAGCAACAACAACGCCAACTTAGTGGGCAGCAATAACTCGCTAGCAGGCACCCCATTTGGTAACGGCAATAACAACAACAATACCAACAACAACAACAACAGCAGCAGTAACAACAACATCATGTCTAGCAGTTTGATGAACAACAACAACAATTCGTGCAGCGCTAATCGCAATGTTGTTGTTAGCATGGATGACGATTCATGCTACCGCCTGGATCCAGACACAGCCGTTGTCACCTACGGCGAAAAGGAGCCCGACCCCGATAACATTAAGATGTTTGTGGGCCAGGTGCCCAAATCGATGGACGAGGCGCAGTTACGCGAAATGTTTGAGGAATATGGCCCAGTGCACTCGATAAATGTGCTGCGTGACAAGGCCACAGGCATAAGCAAAGGTAAGTGCGAAAGAGAACAAAATAAATATATTATTAATTACAATCTTTAAAATTACAAAATGCATGGCAATTGCATATTGTCCTTTCAAAAACTAAATACCCTACACGCAACGGTAAATGTTGAAGCTAACTCACACCCACACACAGGCTCTCTCGCTCACTCTGCACGAATAACTGCTTAAAGTAAATAAGATAAAATTAGCCATTCAACGCACACAAACACATACAGAAATATCAGATATTCTCTCAATCTACATTGCTTTTGCATATTGTGTGTGCTTTGCGTGTGTGTGTGTGTGTATTTTAATTGCATGTCAAGCGCTTGCCATATCATTTCATCAGCAAATTGCTTTTTGTTCGCCATTTGCCTTGGAGCTGCCATTCGAGACAGAAACTTTGAATAGTCAACGAAGGAAGATATGAAGAAAAAAAAAAAAAAAAAAAGAACTCAGTATGTGATCTTGAGTTTATTTTTGTATAAAAGCAGCTTTTAAATTGAAGAGTTAGATTTGACTCTCTTGATGATTGGCCGATTGCTCACTTTGCTCTCTATTGTCGCTTTTGTCATTTGCAGGCAATTTAAAAGCCTCTCAACTGCAGCCAAACACATTTCTATTGATGCGCCACAGTGCGGCTTCTCCTCATTCACAGCGGCACTTCCAATTGTGAAACCTATTGTCAAGTCATATTTTTATGTTCATTTCTTTTTCTATTTATATATAAATATATATTTATATATATAAATATACATATGTTTATTTAGACACCGCCTATTGTCCTTTTTGTTTGCTTTTGTATCATATCTTCGACGGTCTTCTCTCTCTCTCTCGCTGTTCCTCCCTCTCTCTTATATGCCAGCTCTCTATATCATTTTGTTCGGGCTGCATTTGACAGGCGTCCGCTGCTTGGAAATGTGGGCGTGTGCATGGTCAGCTTGTCATCGATGGGCGTGGCTGTCGTGTTTGTATATGTGTATGGGCCTGGGACTATGTGTGTGTGTGTGACAAAGTAAAAGCGCAAACAGTTTTAGGACGCACTTAAGTGGCGCGTTGTGTTGATGATTTATGACAATGAGACAGCGCGAGAGCGACTGGAATTGAGAGTGTGAATGGAAGTAGAAGCTTTCGGCTAAGTGCCTGCCTACATATGTGTGTATATCTGTCTCTCTGTGTGTGTCTCTCCTGCTGTTTATCACTTGAGCTTAAAAGCAGTGCGCCATGCCACAAACACAAATCGACACAAATTGCATTTGAAAGTTATTATTTATGTCAGGCAACTGTCAAATGCTAGCAAACAAAAATTGAGAGAGAGAAAGAGAGGGGCGTGAGCTGACCCAAAAGAAAAAATGGCAAGAGAAAAATACAAACGAGTATACCGAAGATGAAAAAATCCAGATTTTAATTCAGATTCAGTTAAAAAAAAAAAAATAAATATTTAGCATGCATTGCTAAAATATATTATGAAGGTAGACAAAATGAACTGTTATATTTACAAATGTTTGAATCAGATTTAATTGCTAAAAAAAACTTACAACCAGATATGTGTAATTAATTAAGAATAAATAAAAAACAAATACAATTATTTGAAATAAACCAATTTTCCAATTAGAGATGCAGTGATTTATATTTTTAATGAGATAGGCTTATCAAGTTTAGCATTAATTATATCATAACCACTATTCCCTCTGTTAGTTAATTTGATGACTTTCATAATTTAAGTCAAATCATAATCAATATACCTTTTGCTAGTTTATAGTAGGGTATATTTGTAAGCCAAGGGGACCAAGTTTTTTGCTGAAGTTTCGTTGTTTAGTCGTTTCCTTTTTTTTCATGTGCAGTTTTATTTTGGCTTCAACTTCCTGCTACAACATTTCCATTTAGCCTGACTTGTAACCTAGTTTTGGCCAGTTTTAGTTTCGTACCTTGGTCCTTTGTGCTGCGACAAAAAGTTGGCAGTGGAGTTCCCCTAGCCTATCCGCCGACCCCCCATCCATTCGCAGTGCTGCACTGCTGCCAATGGCTTCAAATCTGGATTTTGCTGTTGCATTTTGATGGCGAAACGCTTAGCCAAAAAGCCAGAACGCGGAGGACTTGGCCGTGTTGCAGCTACCAAAAATGGGAAATGACACTTTTAAGCGCGACGATGACCTCTGAACCAGAAAGTCGTAAATAACCTCACCCGCAAAAGAAGAAAAACAAAAGCAACAAAAAACTGGCAGAGAAAAAAATGGAAATTTCCTTTTCGTTTGGGCAAAAGTTTGGACTCCGCTTTTATTATTTCTGGGCTAATGCCTTTTGGCTAAAAACTTGTTTTTCTTTCACACTAAATTTCGTTAGCGGCCAGTTACTTTTCGAGTGGATTTTCTATGTTGTTTGCGGGTGTTGTTATTGCGGTTATGCTGTGGCTCCTCTCCACTCGCTGTGCGTTAGAGAGAGATAGCGAACGCGAAGGGTGCGCTTGGGCAAAGGTTTAAGCTCTCCACTCATAATTTATTAGCGCTTGCGGTAAACTCAGCTATTGGAAGAGCGAGAGAGCAAGAGAGAAAGAGGGAGTGAGAGATAGGCTAACTGCTATGTGCTACTCTTTACTCTTTGTTCAGGTGTAAAGCGCTTTTACAGCTTTGTTTGGCCAAAGCGTTTAATTTGATGGGCCTTTTCTCTCTCTACTTTGAGCCTACCTTCACAAGTTGTTTCAAATTTGTGGGTTTTTAGGTAAAGTTTCTGGAGTGGGTCGAGAGGCGTTTTGAAAAAGGGTCAGCCATAAATTAATCAATGAATGACAAACTATGCACATTGGAAATAAATTAAACTTTAATTTTTGTTGGGGAATTTAACTCAATTAGAAAGCCCAAAGGAAATTATAGTATTTAATTAACCTATTAAGGCTTTTAATTATTATATTTACATTTAATATGCCTATGAAATGAAATGAAATTATATAAATAGGATGTTTTATATGATCTTATGTAACATCAAATATTTAAACTATTACATTATATTCTTAAAATTTGTTCACTTGAGGCTTTAAAGCGATTTTTACTATCTCTCTCTACATTCAGTCCTTGAATATCTTTTTCTATAAATTTGATTTATGACCATAATGCTGACCAAATCACACAAAAAAGTAGGAAATAATATAATTCAGCCGCAGTGAGAAAATATGCTCTGCTTCTTGGCCATTTGATAACTTTTTTTTTCGATTACGCCTGTGCTTGAGAACTTCATTTTGTAAAGCACGCCATCTCACTCACACTCACGCGGCTGCCAGTGTCAAGCTTTGCGTCCAGCTGTCCGCTGTCACCTAAAATAGAAAAAGAAACGCACTTACTTATCTGCCGACTTCATCCGCCTTGCTGTGTCTGTCTTCCTCTCAATTCTCTCTTTCTCTCTCTCCCCACTAATGCTCGCCCACTTTGTGTGCTTGACATTTTTATTTAGCGGCTTGCGGAGCGTGAAAAATGCATAAAATTTCACTTAATTTTCAAAAAGCATTTCAATTTCAAAGAGTCGTTTTGTGCTGGATACCCTGTGAATATTTGGAATGTAGCCAGTGATGGGTCAATAAGCAAAAGTCGGCAAAGTTTGTTTATATATATAAAAAGTTAAGCAAAAGGAATACTTAAGGCTTGAAATTGGTTTCTATATATATATATAAATTTTTTTTTTCAATTGTTTTTTTTTTATGACTGTACAGGGTATAAGCAAAATTCGGCAAAGTTTGTTTATATATATAAAAAGTTAAGAAAAAGGAATGCTTTAGGATTAAAATTGGTTTCTATACTTTTTTGTAGTTTTTTTTTATGACTATACAGGGTATTTGCTAGTCGACTACTCACCCTACATCATACACTGTTACTTATCCTTCCAGCTTTTTTGTGGTTTTTGGTCATGACTTTTGGCGCCCACTGAACTATTGCTAAACGTTTGTCACTTTCGCTACGTCGAGCTTTATCTGTATGAAGAAGAAGAAGTGAGAGAAGGGCGAGAACAGGAGAGAGACCATAGAGCATAGAGAGGAGAGCCATAAACTAAATTCGATTGCCATTGCAGTTGGATGCAGCTTTTACTCCTTTTGGTGCTGCTGTTTTTGTTGTCGTTGTTGGTGTGTATTGTGCAGCTGGTTGGGTGTGTTGCCTTCTCTTTCTGTTTAGGGAGCATGCCAACTCAGCTAGTAAATCTCTGCACCAAAGTTTAATGACATTGATTTATTTAACTTCGATTAATTCGTTTCCTGTTGGTTCTGTCTATGTCCCAGTCTCTGTCTCGCTCTGTCTCTGTCTCTCGGTGTCTACGTGTGTGCGACCGGCACATCCTTTATGTATATATCCATCCCTGCTATATCCCCTTTTCTGGACTTTGGCACGTTGTGTGTCTGGGCCAAGCGGCAGCGACGGCTCTCGATTTCACATCTTAAAATCCAATCCAACCCACTTTCACAAACACACGCACGTCCCGCCCGCTTCCCTTTTCTCCCGCCACTTCTAACCCCCTAACACTCGGCCCTGGATTAAGTTTTTGCCCAAAAACGTGACTGGATGTCGTTTTCAGCTTTTGCCGCCGGTTTTGTTGTTACTTTATCGCATTGTTCCCTCAAGCAAGCGAAAGCTCAACTGTTCTCTGCCTCTTCTGCTTCTTCGTCGTCTGCTCTCCCTCGCACTGCTTGCGTCTTGTTTTGGCGCTTTGATGCTAACTGCAGTTGACATGCACATAATGGGAATTGAGAGATTTCGCTTCTCTTCTCTGCTCTGCTCTGCTCTAGCTGACTTGCCTAGCCAGCCGGTCGTCTTCCTCTTCTTCTCCGCTTCTTCGTTATCGCGCGATTGGTTTTCGTCTTTGGTTTCGCTTGCACAATATTTTATTGCATTTGGAAATCGTTTCGATTTTCTTTCATTTGTTACATTTAACGCTAGTTTAATTTTAAGTGATATTTAATCTGCGATTGCACAAGTTACATTTCTACTCTCTCTCTCTCCCTTTCTCTTTTACCTCTCTACTTTTCTGTTGCCTTTGATCTCAGTCCGTTTGGAGCTCAGTGAAATGCGATATTTGTTTGATTTAGCGCAGAAAACTTAGAAGATTAAAAAGCAAAAAGAAAAGAAATACCAAGCGTTTATTTGAGTAAGTTAGTTTTAATTAGTTTTGTTGCTTTTCCGGCAATTTAATCATCAAGTTGGATTTTAAGCTTTAAGTGTAGTGAATCTTTAAATAAATTTGTTATGTACAGAACAAAATTTGTACTAACAAACAAGTCTCTTCAAGCATTCATAATAGATAGCTTATATTGTTAGTGTTGACTTTTAATACACAAATAAAATTTATAACTAAATCGTAGAAGGCCTGATAATTCAGTATTTAAAAGAGCTTTCACAAAGCTTTAGCGAAACTAAATTTCTTCGAGCATATTCCTTTGCTATGGTTCCTAAGATGCGCTGACATACATACATATGTATATAAGCACGTCTGAAGTTTTATAAAGCTTAAAAGCAGATCACTAATGGCATAGGCAAGACATAGCTTTTCCGCATCTAGTTAAGCAATTTTAAAAGCTTTCATACATCAGCTTAATAGATCGCTGTAATACGAAATTCGCATTTGCATTACACACACTTTAAAAGCTTTAAACTTTCAATGCAGTCAAAAAAAAAAAAAAAAAAAAAACATAATTCTCACACATCCGTTGCGGCGCCGTTGGCGTCGGCATTTGCTCTGCCTCTCTCTGTTTCTCATTCTCTAAACCTACACCGGATATAAAAAACGCAAAACGAGAAATGAAAATATTTGCGAATATGTGAAAAATTCTGAAAAACGGCCGTGTGTGCGGCGACAACGAGGACGACGACGGCGGCGGCGACGGTATAAAAACTGCGACAGATTGAATTACCCAAGTGTTGGTGCAGGTGTCTATGTGTGTGTGTGAATGTGTGTTGCGACAAATACCCACCCATATGCAAATAGAGAGAGAGAGAGAGAGAAAGGAAGAGAGTTAGGGCTGTGCGAGCCATGTCCACCACAACGCATTACGCTTGGGTAAAGCCGAACGTCGAGTCGATATGGCCGGTAATTGCATTATGCAACTATTGCTATATTAAGTTTTCCATTCACTGTTTGGCGGCCAGGCCAAAATCCCAGAATCCAACGGCCAGAATTTCAAATGGACTCCATTACAAAGGGGCTGGCTGGGAGGTTGCCTGCTATGGGCGTGGCTGGAAAACAAGCTACGTAAAATGGAATATGTGTATGAGTGCGAAAGCGCGAGCCGGAAATGAAATTCAACTGACGCTTAGGGTTTTATTTTACTTTTCTATAGTCTGGGCCACAGATTTTGGTGGGAATTGCAAAAAAAAAAAAAAAAAAAAAAAAAAAAAAAATTAAAACAAAAGTGGGCATACGAAAACAGAACTCCTGAGAACCTCGCATATAGCCTGACTCTCGCTTATAGTTGAATAGTGAATGTGTTATATAAATTGGCAATGCAAAATCGGGTTAAAAAAAAAAAAAAAACAAATAAGCATTAATTAAAATTTGTTGCCTGCTTTGAAACGTTCCCTAATTAATTTAACAAAATTTTAAATACATATAAAATTTATTTATGACTAACATATTTATTTATATTTATTGTTTTTAACATATTTTTGTATCTTGAAACTTGGCTTAATGAACTAAATTTATTTAAGAATGATTTTAAAATAAAAAAAGGAATATATTAATATATTACAATTTCAAACTCCTCTTAATAGCAGGAAATTTATTTAAAAATACTTTTGAATTAAATTGTAAATTAAAAATTAATTTCCATTAAAATTATGTGTGCATTAGTATAAATTCAAAAATTTATTTAAAAAAAAATTTGTTTTTTTCTAAACCCAAAAATGTTTTAATTGTTGCGTTTGTTAGCGCTACTAATTGTGGCTCGGCTTAGTAGGTATCGCATGGCTGCTCAAATATGCTTGCAATCCGGAACCCCACATAAACTTCAACACCTAAAACACTCGCCCCAAACCTCACTCCCCCTCCCTCCATCCATCCCACACACACACACCCCTAACCAAGCGCTTCCACCACGACAGATTTGTTGCTGGGCGAACGGGGGAAGGCGTACGGTCGAGGCTTTGGCCATAATGTTTAATTTAGTGTTGCCATGTTGCCACATTTGTGCCAAGCGCCCGGCCTCTGCCCTCTGCCCACCGCACCTCTCACCGACCTCCTTCAGCTGCTTCCTGTTCGCTTGCTGCCATTTTGCCTGCCTGCTAATAATAATAATTTTCATAATTTCTTCGCCACCTTTTCCTGACGTCGTTGAAAATAAACTCCAATTTAACCCTTATGCTAATCTCAATATTTCGCTCACTCACTCTCTTTCCTTATTTCTCTCTCTTTCTCTTACAGGCTGCTGCTTTGTGACATTTTATACGCGTCGCGCCGCACTGAAAGCTCAGGACGCACTGCACAATGTGAAAACGCTGAGTGGGGTAAGTTGAATGTGTTTCTCAGGTTTATTTTTAGCATATTTTTTACATTTTGCGACATTTATTGCTAGCGATTAGTTGGAGCAAGAGGAAGAGTAGAAGCAGGGCAAAAGGGAGTCCGAGAGCTATTTTTATATTTTAGACGGCATTTTAGGTTTTAATTGGAAAACATTTTTATTAACTTTTTTTGCTGACGGTGCAACACGAAAAATCGGCTGCCACATCAACTTATCATAAACGCATTCATGCAACACAGCAACATCAGCAACAACAGCGACAGCAACACAGCGACAACAACAACAACTGTGGAATAAAACTGGCTGGAATTTCAGCATCGCATTGCCTTCATTATGGCTAACAGACTGCGTGACTGACAGATTGACTGGTGCGCAGACTGAAACAGAGTCATGACGCGGCATAAAAAATTTGATGCAAAACTAAAAAAAAAAATAAATAAAACTGTTAATGGAAAGGTAGAACTGACGTAATACCCTGTTAATTTGACTCTAGAATTTTGCTTGTCAAATAAAGTTGAAAGAACTGGGGCAGTTTAAGTGAAAAGCATTGAGATTTGTTGAAATATGAACAAGAAAACTAAGAAACTTCGCTTACTTAGAATCATAGAGGACTATCGTGAGAGATATACTGCTTTTATACCTAAATATTTAAATAAAAATAATCAAACGAAACTACGATGTGCTTATACCCCTTTTAGTATTGACAGGGCATAACCAAATCATTGCACTTATTTTGTGATTTTCCAATACAGTTTTTTCTTTTGCAGTACTATCTAGGTTTCTAGCCCCCTTCAGCTCCTCTGTCTATCAATATAAAATGCAAGTAATTTCCAAGTTTAGCCCATGTCCTGGCTGCTTAAAAGTATGCAACATAAAATAGCAAAAAAAAAGAAGATAATAGACAAAAAAATGAAGAAACAGGAAAAAATTTGTTAGCACGCGTCGAAAGTTTATGCTAAGGAAAGAAACCAAAACCACAGGCACAAAAATGTCAATTTGCGCTTGGTAGCTGCAACAATAGGGATAGGGTAAGGGTGCGGGTAGGGGTAGTGGGTAGTGGGTAGAGGCTTGTGCATAACGGGCTAGAATAGACAGCGTCAGCGAAAAACGTACAACATTTCGAGTTGCTGCGTTTTCTTTTCCCAATTTCTATTGCGCCATCAAATCAGCATGAATATTATTATTTGGTATGTCATGTAGGAGCTCCAAGAAGCAAAGGGGTGGTGCTTGAAGGGCTTGACAAGAAGAAAAATGGGGTACGTATGTTGCGCTAGGTTATGCAAAGCTACACATAACAATGCTTTGTGTCAGGCGCTGACATAACTTGTGCATGTCGTTGGTGCTGCCAAAAAAAAAAAAAAAAAATGGAGCAATGAAAAGCAAAAGAAATTGTGCAGCTGCGCGGCAATATTTATTTTACAAAATTGTTATTGAAAGCCACAGCTGGAATCCTAAAAAGACGGAAAGGTTAGAGGATTATACGGGCTGCAGGAAGCTAAACAACTGCACAGAAATTGGCAGAGATTTCGATTTGGTTTGTGACCATTTCTGCATGTGCAGCAATTGACAATTTTTCCATGGAACTTTGATAAATTGACAGCTGTTAAAACTTGCTTCAAACATTTCTTAGTACGCTTTTAAATAGTTTTTTTTTTTTTTTTTTTTTTTTTTGCATGTAGAATGAATAAAGTAGCTGGGTTTTTTAAATTTACCAACACTGCACTGGTTGCAACTATATGGTAAGCTAATTTAGTAGCATGGTCTATTTTAATTAGAAAAGTATTTTTTTTAAATGTTCCATTTAAAAATTCCGTTAAACTTTAAGTAAATGTTGGCAATTTGCAACACTGTAACTAGTACGTTTCATATTGCATTTATTTTCTGTGCCCTAAAGCTAGAATGTTTATTAGGATAGACAAAGAAAATATTCATTGTAATGGAAGGTTTTGAGCTATGTCTATAGTCTTTTACAGCACTAAACAGTAGACAGGCAATTTTTTAGGAGGGAAAACATTTACTGAATAATGGAGTTATTTTTATTGACAGGCAAATAAAAAACCCAAAAGATTTTTCAACACTGGTAGTGCACGATAGTAATACTCCCGATACCCGATAGTCTAGCCTAGATAAGATAACAAATTTTGTATTCTCTTTAGCCAATTTATGAATACCATGCGATATTTGTATAATGTGTTATCAAGCAAGAAAAATGCCAACCACAATTCACAGGAAATAATACTTGAGGTAATTAGCCAAAATTGCACTGCGCCTGAAGTCTAATACCAAAGGGGGTATTCAGAGGGACTGCGTTTGGCTTGACCTGGTAATTGGTATTTCCTGAATGAAAATAAAGGAATAGGTAAAAATTAAAGGGGGCGTGGCATGGACATAAAAAGTGGTAAAAGGGGCCAGCAGAAGCAGGAGCCGAAGCAGCATGGCTGGAAACAGGTTGACTTGGACAGCAATTTGTAAGAAGTCGCGTTGCGTGTATTATTTACGAGCGCCTAGATGTAGGCAACCGAGTGAAAGAGAGCCACACAGAGAAAAAGAGAGAGAGAGAGAGAGAGAGTGAGCGAGAGGTAGAGAGAAATGCGAGAAAGGGTGTTGCGTACAAGGACGCGCGGCGCGCCTTATAAACGTGAACTGTTGTCGTTGCCAATAAATCACGGGCCATTAGCCGCGCAGACTTGGCGACGGAAGTGCTCGGGCATGCGGCCTCGTTTGGGCTCCCTCGACCATACTCCTTTACCCCTGACCTCGTGCTGCGGCACGTTTTGCGGGCGCTTTAAGCTTGTTTTAATTAGAAGACGCTGTGCGAAAAATTACATTTAAAACGTTGCTGCAACTTGGCGTCAAATAGGGAAATGCGAACGCATATTTTAGGATTTTCACGGCAACAACTGAGATAGATAGAGAAGAGGAACAGAGAAAGGGCGAGAGAACGCTAAAAGGAGTAAAAGTTGTTGTTGCTGTTGCTTCTCGGCGACCGCTGAATAAATGTGTTTGGCTTTAGTCGAGGATTTGGCGGCCAGTTAGAAGCAGCTTGTCGGCTCTTTACTGCATTCATTCATTATGCAGCTTAAGCGCCTATCAAAAGCAAAAAAAGAAAAGCGCGAAGCGAGGGGCATACGCTGCTGCAGCGCCAACTAAATGGACGTTACTTACACGCACACAAACTTATATACATGTATATGTATGTGTGTATGTGTGTATACAGCATAGAGCGCGCGTCTGCTGGGACTATGTTGTCCAATTTTGGCTGGTTGCACTGCGCCAAAGAGCCGGCCAAATTAATCGCAGACTGCATCGTTTATATAGCGCCACAATATATCAAATGTGATTAACACGGCAAATTAGGTTGGCCAAATCCTTGGAATTTTGTTAGCAGCTCGCCAAAGCGTAAAAAGTAAAAGCCCCAAAAGGATGGCACAAAAGAAAAATCAAATATAAATGAAGTCAAAATAAGTAATATGTGAGCTTAGAAAGGGAATACGTCAGGGGAAGAAAAGTAATTTAAATATGCTAATAATTAAAAATTATTTATAATATATTTTAAGTTTTTTTGTTAACTTAAGAATTGTAAGCATATACTCATGTTCTTACTTTTTCTCACTCTATTTACAGATGTATCATCCCATACAGATGAAACCCGCCGATAGTGAAAATCGAAATGGTAAGTTCGAGAAAAGTTTTATCAAATAAAAATACTATAAGGCTGTATACATTTAACAAGCACTTTGACTGGCTGTCAAAGAAGAGATTTTTACATGTATTGGGCTTGCTTTACTTCTAATCGATGTTTGACTAGAAGATATTTGACTAGAAGTTAAATGCCAACCCCAAAATAACATTTTGCGATACTTTTAACAGCCACTTTAACTAAAAGTTAAATTTATAAATATTTTAATAGTCAAAGAAGAATTTTGAAATCTTTGTTAACAAACAATTTTCACGACTTCTAATTGACGTCAAAGTGTTTTCAGTATTGTTTCACTAATTTGACGCTCAGCTTGTGTGCGCCTGTCAACACATTTTAACTTTGACAGCAACTTTGAACTTTGAAAGAGGCATTTCAATGCGAACTTCATCAGCTTGAGCTGTCAGAGGTGGATTTATATTTAAATGTGCTTCATATAGAATTCTTCAAAGTGTGCGTCTGCAGTTGCTCCAAAACTGTATGTCAAATGTTTGACTCGGCCTAAAAGCGACTGCGACTGCGACTGCAAGTGCAGCTGTATTTGACAGCTTTTGTGTGCAGCTTCAATGTATTGGGGCATGGCATGCATGGCACGAGTATCCTGATTCCACTCTCCACTCATGTGTCTCGCTCGATGGACAGGCCACAGTTTAAACATTTCAGCAGATTTTATTTTTTTTTTTTTTTTTTTTTTTTGTATGGCACTTTAGTTTTTTCACCCTTTTTTTTGCCTTCTGTCAGTTGCGTGTCGGTCACTTGGCAGTTAATTAAAAACCATCAATTATGTGCGCCGCGTTGCAAAATTGTTTAACATGGTAAAAAAAAAAAAAAAGAAAAGTTTTGTGCACAAAAATTTAATATATGTTAATTTTTTTTTCGCTGCCAGCTTAACCGCGCTCTCTCCTTATATATATCTCTCTCCCTCACTATCTCTCTCCCTCTCTTTCGCTCTCCATTCATCTCGCTTGTAGTGGCTTCTTCTTTTAATTATACCCATGAAATTAATCTGCTTAAGTGACCACAAAAATGTTGACTTTTCGACACACACACACACACATATACACTCACCAACACACTTGCACACCCACGCATACAGTCAAGCATGTTGCATGCAATGGGCGCTTGGCAATTTTTTAATTGGCGACCTCTAGCAGCGCGTATTGTTAACAAGTTGAAGCGTTTGCTGCCAGGCTGAACGAGAGAGTGAAGCCAAAAGCAGGGAAAAACAAAAAATGAAAAGCGCAAAGAAACTTTTTGACATGCGGCTTCTGCCAGCTGCATCCGCCCACCCTCTCTTTCTTCCTCCCTCACCCTCTCTATCTCTCTCTCTCTCTCTCTCTCACGCTGTTGCTATGCGTGTAATTACGCTTGTTTCACATGGTGTATGTTTAATTTTTTCGTCCCAAAATATCGTTAAATTATTTGGCTGCTTTTGATACTAGTGTGTGCACATTTTTAATGAATGTAAGCGCGAAAAGTTTAGCTAATTAGATTTAGAATAATTTACAGCGCTGATGCCGATTGGCAAAATGAATTCTAGAGTTATATTTCTCATTTCGATAGGAGATATGTTTAAATAGAATTGTTATTATGATACCGAAAGCAAAGTACGTATTAAATGAATAGTTTTCAGCTCATGCATTGCTAAGTGATTCGATTTAAGCTTGACTTCCTGCGGCTATATAATTAGCAGAACTAAAAACTTTTTTTGTGATTGCTATGTCGTGTTTGAATTTCAATTTTAGATAAGCTTAAAAGGCGAAACGCCCGCAATGCGCCTAAAGCGATGGCAATGCAAATGCATTTTGGACTAACTCCAACAATTGCCGCATTATAGACATGTATATGTATGTGTATATACAGTTATACATAGCTATGTATTGGTATATATGTATATGTATATATATCAAGTCTCTGCCGCAATCGCATTTCAATATCGCCGCAAAGCCAAAAACTAGACAATTTTTGTTTTTATTTATATTTTTTCCGCTTGCCTTGTAGTTGATTTTTTATTGTTTTTAGTATTTTGTATTTGGTATTCGTGTGCTTTGGCACTTCAAACCTCAAAAATAACAGATAGATGGAAATGAAAAATAAGAAGTGAAGGAAAACTTGCAATAAGCATAAAAAATAACAAACAAACAAAAAAAAAAAAAAAAGTTTTACTTTGGCCGACGCCGCGCAGAAATTTATGCCAAACAGCGGAAACGATATAATAGAAAAAGATGGCAGAAATATTCCTCTGGTATTTCCTCCCTTAGTTTTTTTTTTTTTCCTGTTTTTTGATGTTACAATCGGAGTGGGCCAAGGAAGGCGGGTAACTGTGTGTTGGTTTATGCCTAGAAATCGAAAATAAAAGACAGTTGCAGACAACAGTTGTTGGAGCCAACGTAACAACAAACGGAAGGTGGCAATTTAATAAAATGCTTGAGTGAGTCCCCGAGTTTTGTTTCCTGCTGTGGATCCTGCTGCTGCTGCTGCTGGTGCTGCTTATAGTCCTGCTCCTGCCGCTGCTGCTGTCGCAGAAAGTGTAGCATACTTTTTGGCAGTCGTCGCAAAAGCAGCAGGCGGCAAGGCAGCAGCAACCTTTGATTGGTTTTTGGGTTTTGTATGCAGTGCTTGTTGTTATTTTCAGTTTGGGCAAGGGCTAAGGGCTCCATTGAAGAGCTTTGCAGTTTCAAAAGTGGATATAAATATATATATATATATGTATGTATATGTAAACCACGAGGCAAGGCAAGAGTTCTAGCTGCCTCGATTGAGTGTGGCAATGAGCTGCAGCGTCTTGTGCTTAGTCAGCAGAGTAGTAGTGTTGGGTAACGATTGTAATTCCTTAAAAAAAAATAAAAATTATATTTTTTAGCAATATTTTTTTATTTTTTTTATCAAATTTTAAGATATTTATATATCAAAGTTATTATATACTACTATTCTAAATATATGTATAACTTTTATGTACTCCAATTAATAAATTGAAGTATATATTTACATTTATATTTCATTTCCCTTTTTAGCTAATTGCAAATTACACTTTTTATAACATTATAGTGTCTATTTCACTGTGGCCCATAAAACTATCAAAAATTGTAGATCATTATCAACCGCCCTCCATGTGAAAACTATTATACTTAAGTACAATGCGAGGCACCCTCTTGTAATAAGACGCAGCGCCAACACGCTATTACAAATTTCTGTTAGTATTCCACTTGAATTGAAGTAAATGCAGTTAAATTTTATGACGCTGACCCTGCCCCATAAAGTGCAAACCAAAACAAAGAATGGTCGATTATAGCGAGGGACAGGGTAACATAAATACATCAAGTGCTAAAAGCGCGGACTGGCCAAAATATAATAGCTGGGGGAGGGTGAAAGAAAAACAGAGCTGAACAGTAGAGTGAAGAAAAAGTGTCTGCAATGAAGGCGATTTGCGTTAGGTTTACTTAAGTAGAAAACATGAAAAGTGCCAGACAAAATGCAACCAAATCAAATGTGTAAGCAAAGAACGGCAGAGAAATGGGGAAATGGGAGGAAAAGCAGTAAAGAGGGAAGAGTAGAAAAGTGCAACGCGGTGGTAATCAGTGCAATTTGCATGCGAGCAAACTTCAAACAGACAACGACGAAGCGCCACCAGAGAGACGATGTCAAGTTGCTGGCGTCAGTTTTTGTATACGCTGTAGGGGTTGGGACACAGGGTAGATTGATTTTGTGGTATATGTGGAGCAAAGCAATGAAATGAAAGAGAGAGGTAGTTGTCTGAAGAAAATTAATGAAAGTTTTTTAAGAATTGTTAAGTAAGATTATAATTAGTTTATTATTCTTAGTCAAATAATCAAATTAAATATTCTCCATAATCTTTGGTTAACAGCTTTTAATATATTTTGGTGTGCTAAGTTTATGTATATAAATATATACATATATTATAATAAATTACAATATTCTAAATATCTACATTATTTGTGTGCTAAGTTTTCTAAATATCTACATATTTACTCAGAACGTTGATCTTTGATGCACATGAATTTCTTTCTTTTCGTTATAAAATATATAAATATATATATAATATTCAAACAATTTTTTTTTTTTTTTAATTCATTAGATATTAGATATTAATATTTTTATATTTTATGAATTTCTCATGCTAATCCGGAAACCCATTGACTACATATATTAGCATCGACTTAATGTATAAGCAATTGTTAAATAAACCTCCACTAAATATCACTCTCTAGAACCATTCTAAACAGCGTATTGCTTTAGTCAGTTACATTTCCCTTGCCCATTTTTCTGAACATCCATTCATTTTGGAAGGGTGTTATTAAATTTGCAAATAAGTAATGTCAAATGTGCTTTTTTGCTTGGTCTTGTTGAATTTTGGCGCTGCATACTTGAGGCCGCGCCAGAAATGCAGTAAGCAACTGGAAAACGGGCAAAAAGGCAGACATGTTAACATTTTCATGGTTTTTCCACACAATTTGAGAAGGCGCTCTCGCTCTCGCTCTCTGTCTCTGCCTCTATCTCTGTCTCTGTTGCTCGCGCGTTCCCAAGAAAATATTCAAAATGGATTGTATTTGCATTTGACGTAGAGTGGGGAATATTGCCGCATATGAAATCGATATGCAAATGTTGTCGAGTAGTGAAACTGAATAACAGTACGACACATGGAGAAGCTGGGAGGTAGAGGCGATGGCGATAGAGCGAGGAGCGTCTCTTGACTTCCTCTGCGATGATGATGCACGTATTGTTTGCTTGTAAACATGATAAAAATTCAAATTAGCCATTATGGCAAGTCAAGTACATATAAATGAGCGAATGTGAGTGTGTGAGTGTGTTGTCGCGTTGAAATGTAAAATGTGGCTAGAAATTACCGGAAGGCAATTGTGAAGAGGACGAAAAGGAAGAAAAGAAGCCGTCAACGTTTCAGAAACCTTGAGCCAACTTTGTATAAAATTTATATTTGCATATTTCATTGCCAGTTT